GTAATTGACAGTGTAAATTAAAGATAAGCATACGGTAAAATAAAATAACATGATAAAAGAACATAATAAAAGAAAACAAATGGAAACAATTAATATGTTGATAGTCTGACAACACGTCCCAATGTAAAATTTTCATTGTACCTGAGGAAGGCTGGTTTGGCCAGCCGAAATATAGTACACCTTCAAAAAATCATCCTACGTTGTGTCGGTTTTTGCTTTTGTATTCTTAACAAACAAGCACCTACCTTCCAAGAAGCAGTCCAGCACGCTGCTAAAATACACTGACATAAGATATGCGCTGTGATCATGTCACTTGCACTGACAGCTTTGTCTTGTGACAGTACAACACCTGTAAGGAATGAAATAAGTACTAGTTATGCAGTGCTCTCTTTTGGTCTACCATGGAATATCGCACGAGTCACCTGTATTTTCTTGGTATACACACGAGCAATTAGGCGAGTGTGTAATGACAAGTAGGATATTTCATGGTATACCACGGGAGAGCGTTGTATAACTATGTTATACCATGCCATAGAAGATACAGTGACCAACACAATCAATGCGACATCCGTGCGGCGCATGATGGGAAAGTTGGATGCAATACCGCCGAATATGCAACGACTTTCCTGTATTCTGATTGCCTGTATTTACTATGGCATGGTATAAAATGGATATCAGACCGCCATACGGCGACCGGACAGTTTTCATTTCCCAGTCTATGTTTTGGTCTTGTTTCAGCTCTTAGGAGAAATATTGTACAACATGCCCCAGCCAATCAGAGAGATTATGCTGGAAAAAAACAAAAATAACTTGGCTTGCGCATATTGTCCCGCTCTTTTGTAGGTTGCATGGATTGCACGGCTTTTTTGGCTTTGAATTCTGATTGGCTCATTCTTCCGTACATTTGGTAAAATGTAAATAGGTATAATTTCAGCTTTGTTCTAACTGCAAGTTTGCTTAATATACGTTTAGTAATCAATCAAAATCTCACAGAAGTTGATATGTTTTGATTTTTCGTGATTTTGTTTAGTTGTGTCAAGAAACTTGCGCGCAAAATTTCCTGCTAAAACGGGCAGCCTTTTCCTTGACATGGCGCATTTCACAAGTAATTAATTCAGCTCACCTCCTGAGCGAAGATCCTGGTGAAGGATAAGTGATCTTGTGGTAGCACTGTGAAACAGACACACGAACCATACTCAAGTCAAGGCAAAACAGAGATACAGAAAGCAATCTTGGGTCAAATACTCGCACTAATCTGAGTGCATGAAACTTATGTTCATAAAATACCGTAAACCAGCTGATTCATTGAGCATTATTAATAGCACTAAATTTTTGGTCATCTGTACTTCTGTTTACTATGACGGTACTAAAAGTTCTTTTTTCTTTTTCTTTCATTTGAAAGAAAGAAATATTGGCATCCAACCTTTATAAACCAATTTACATCATATGGAGGTAATATAGTTTTGTGGATCATTCTGTGCTCTGTCCAAGTTTTAAAATATGACGCCTTGGACACTACCCACACACATTCTATTACTATAGCTTACAAAGTAAAAAGTGGAGTTGTAGGTTTCCTCTGTTTACATGCAATGGCTGAACTTGTACATGTCCTCGTGGGTGGGTCCTCAGTGTAGACAGTAAAAATCTTCATTTTTTCCATCCTTACAGATTAGCTAAAAATATCCTCTAATTTCCAAGGTCTCTAATTAACCAAGGAAAAGGTCTTGAAAACCCTCTTTACTCCCACACTGAAAGAGGTCTTCCTTTTGATTTGTTTTGAAAGTATATTTGTTCGTGTCTTTTCAGAGAGCATGATTCTCACCTATTTTCATGTGGTGTCCAGTTTCTGTGGAAGAAGATTGGCACAAAGGCAAACACTTGAAGTGTCTTGAGCCTTGAGAGAGGCGGAAGCTGTAAGGAATACCAGCGGACACAGACCGATGATTTAAAGACATTGAAGCAATCGGCAGTAGACCAGTGTTTCTTACCAGAAGTATCTGTGACACAAAGTTTCCATCTTACGTCTCCAAGTCTGTAAATGAGTGAATACAAAGCTTTATGTAAGAAAAAATTTGTATTGGAACCTAGTGGCATTTATGCCACACTTCCATGTTATGCCTGTTCCAGCCCATCGGGTTAATGTGTGGTTTAAAAAAGCAGGTGAAGGGGAATAGAGTGAGCTAGGGAAAAAGAGGGGCACTAAGGCAAGATAAGGAGTCCATTGCTTTTTATTCTTTTGTTTGTCCACAAGTTTCGTTCACCCTAGCCAACAAAAAGAGAGCCCGAAACATGCTAGCTACAGTATGTACATGTAGCTACCATAAAAAACCCACAGAAATGACATCATGAAATGTGCTGCTCCAGAAAATATCCATACATCTCCCACAAAGGATTTGAACCTCCCCCCTCCCCAATCTTCTGGAAATTCCACTTACACTCCCCCTTACAATTTCTGGATCATGTGCACTAACGGCATCCACGGTTGAGTGTCAATTGATTCCGATCAATACCCTCGATCGACACTCAATCGACACCTCGGTTGACACTTGATTGACACTCCATCAACACCTTGGTCGACAGTCGACTAATTTTTGATTGAAGCACATGAGTCAGTTGACACTCGGCCGACTATTAACACACTGTTGATCAAGTGTCAATCAAGTGTTGACCAGGTAGTGATTGGGATGTCCATCGAGTACCGAGAGAGACCGTGGATGCCATCAGTACACATGATCTGAATTTCTAATAAGCATTTTTAGCTTTTGGGTGCGTATGGATATCTATCTTCTGCAACTACACAATGTCCAAAATGTTGCTGGTGAAACCACTCAAGTGAATCACAAGCTGCAGGCTTGTGGTTTCACTTAAGTTTTGAATGCTTTATGACATCATTTCTAGTTTATGATAGTCTAGACTATGGCAAAATGTGGCAGAGTTGTTACATAGCTACAGGTATCTTGTATAATATATAAATTCAACTTACAGTTAGTAAAAATAGATACCTGAGAGCATGTGGCACTTCTGTTGATAACCCAGTGTAAGGTGAAAGTTTCTTCACTAACTGCAAAGTCAAAATCTCATCATTTCTTCTATCTATACACCTGCAAATGTTGACAGAGAAAGATCAAACTTAATTCATCTGCATAATTGACTCTCTGGTAACACTCAGCATAAAAACTTGACAATATTAAGAAAGGCACAAGTACCTCTTGATCATTTCATGTTTCCAGTCAAAACATTCCTCCTTTGTTTCACTGAAAGTCAAAGAGTCTCTCACGCCTTTTGGAAAATTAGGAAGAAATCGTTGCCAGAGACAGCTGAATTTGAATACACAAAGTTGTAGTGAATGGTAGTTACAATGTTATAAATACATCTTCTCCAATCTTTCTAATTTCTAAATATGTCTTGAATTTTCCAAACTCAAGTCTGTCAGATGTAAGGATTGCACAAAGTTCCCCAGTATTCCTACATGTCTGTTTATTAACCTCAGGGGGAGGCCGGTGATACGTAAATGCAATTAATGTATGCACCATTTTAGCATCCTAAATGCTAAATATATTATTCACATTTGGTAGCTCAAGGGAGGGTGCTTGTTGGAGAGGGTTACAAGTCTATTACTGATCAGACACTTAACATATCTTTTTTGCTGCAAAGACATTGATTGGAATATGATGCACTTATATGTAAACCAACAACATACTTAACACAAGAATGATAACAATGTTTGCTTATTGCAAATCACTACATAGTTATATTAAATTATAACAGTGAGTTACCTTTCTTTTGAAACTGCAGACCATTTGTGACACACTTGAGCACATATTAGCAATTCAGAAGGACCCAAGCATTTGAATATTGTTAACAAAATTTCATTTGGAAGCCTGAAAAAAAATTATGTTATTTAGACAAACAAATGCGTGCTTTGGTTTCAAAAAAGAGGACTGAGGAGAAGTAGCAGGAAAAAAAGTCAACTGACATCGTATTGGTCTGGTTTCACAACAAAATACAACCATTTTCAGCCTGTTTCTGCTTAAATTGCTTGTGCCAACCAAGCAACAATAACATAACATCTCTATGATATGAACATTGATAATACTTCTATCGGCTCAAACAACCTGTGACTAATGTGAAACTTCACTGATTTCACTGTTCAGGGAAACAGAAGGTTTCTTTTGTATCTCATTCAATGAAAGATCTCCAAAAGATACTGCTACGAAAACTGAGTGTTTTTGCATGTTCAAAAATGGAGAACAAACCAGCCAAAAAATTACAGGGCAATGATTTTGTCACTAAAAAGAAGCCCACATGCGAAAATTGAGATAAACATTCTAACAAATGTACATTGACCAACCTGTTAACTAGATCAAGACTTTTAGGTCTTGAGTAAGCTGAGGCTTGGGTTTTTCCAAGCTGCTTTGTTGACGGCTGGACTCCAGCTGGGGTTTTTCTTAATCAAAATTGTTAAAAATTGAGTGAACACCTTCAAACACATTTACAGTATAATTAAAAAGCAATACTCCCCTCCTGATATGTGACATTCCTGTTTGCCCTGTAAGGGAATACCACCATTCCTTGTCTTATCCCTTGCCACAGTGGGTAATGCCCTGGCCAAATGGACTTGCAAGTAGTCACAAGTTGAACTTGTGTAGAGACTTGCATTGGGTGGCCAAACAGACTCACAAGTTACCTTGTAAGTACACACAAGACATATCCTGTATTTCATTGGCTAATAGCTTGCTATAATAAGGGATGGATGCCACTCAGCTTGCATTAACTTGTGTGCAAACTTGATCTCAACCAAAGTAAGTGCAAGTCATCACAAGTCAAATGAATGCAAGTGCATGCAAGGCCTGGCCAAACGCAATCGCAAGCAGACCCAATTTTCCAACTTGCGTCTACTTGCGACTCCGTTTGGCCAGGGCAATAAAGATAAGCTTAGTTAAAGCATGTATTGTTTGAAAGACTGTTGAAGTACCACATCTAAGTGGTTTGACATGACTTTCCTGCATGACTCCCCAACACAGCTACTGGTGTTTAATTGCCAAGTTGTACTTACTTGTGGGAGGCGCGGTGGCCTCATGGTTAGTGCGCTCGTCTCCGGATCGAGTGGTCCGGGTTTGAGCCCTGGCCAGGGACATTGTGTTGTGTTCTTGGGCAAGACACTTTACTCACACAGTGCCTCTCTCAACCCAGGTGTATAAATGGGTACCGGCGAACTTAATGCTGGGGGTAATCCTGCGATGGACTAGCATCCCATCCAGGGGGGAGTAGAAATACTCCTAGTCGCTTCATGCTACAGAAACCGGGATAAGCTCCGGACTGATGGGCCACTTGGCTCGTACGCAGACTTTTTTACTTACTGACTTGGCGGAAAACTATAATCTTAGCTTTATACAAGCAAACAAAATTACATGATATTAGATAAAGCTTACATCACATCGCATAAAGAACCATATAAAACACAATCAGATTCTCTATCTAGTTCCAAGAAGCATTTTTTTCTTTTTGTAAAAGATTTTGCGAGCTAAGAACCCAAAATGCCGTAATCCATATAATTATGTAGCTGAGCGCTGAGGGTTGCTCAGGTGAGAAACTTATGTATCCTTTACCTTTCTTTCGAAACGCCTGCAGTAGTTGAACCTGACCTTTTACATTTCAAATACGAGCTGAGGTGCTTTTGATGTTGTGACATAGCTTTATACTTCCCTTTCCTTTTCTTGGTCGAGTCCTCATTCAATCAGATCTGCCTCCATGTTTGTTTTTCAATGTTGACGAGCGAGGACTGGTGTCGAGAAAATATTTCCGCTTGGCGTCTCTTGTCAAAGCGACGAACATCAACATGGCGGACACAGAGAAATCGGTGAAGATTGAAGAAGGAGACCCTCAGAGCGTACAAGATTTGACTGGATTTGTACCATTCGATATTCAACATGTACAATCATAGTGTAACTTTATGCCGGGGCCCTATGTGTTGCTACTTTTACTTACAAACGGGATTTTAGCCGATAGCAATTCTGCCTCTAAATTTAGGCGATATTTATGCTTATGTAGGTTATTGCGTCAACTTTTTCTTTAGATTTAAATGACAAGATGAGTGTTGTTGTTCTTTTGTTTTGCCTTCCTTTCTTTTTTCTAACAGGTGCAAACGTTGCTACAGCAAATGGTGGGTAATGAAAACATAACTTGGATTAAGATTCTTTCCTTTAGACTTGTTTTGTTTGCTTTCACTTTGGTTTGTTTTAACTGGAAAGCGTTTCATTTCTAATTTACAGCAAGACAAGTTCCAGCAGATGTCGGACCAGATCATCACGAGAAATATCCTTTTACTTTGTTGTAAAAACTGTTATACTGACAGCATAGCAGAGCTGAAAGTGGATGTCATATTCACTTTGTACAAACTTATCTTTGCTCAGATCCAATTTATGAGCAAATTATTGCTAAGTTTATGTCTCAGTTTGTCTATCTAATTTATCGGGGATGCTGGCAATTTGATAAGTTTTAATTCCGCGATACGTTGTGAAGGTTTTATTGTTGATTCAAGTGTGTCCACTGGCCCTCTATTTCAAAAACTCACTGTATCTTCTTGCATGTAGCTCACGTGCTGTTATCTTTTCAGAACGCGGAAAGCGTTGTTGTGATTCTGGAATTTTTGTTTGGAATCAAATTATTACATTCCTAAGCAGTTAATTACCACTATAGTCTGAATGTGCTAATTAACGACACAATGGGACTGTACAGTCATTTGTAATGTAATTATTTTTGTTGTTGTAGAGCATACATAGTTTACTTGTACAAATCATGGTATTAACCTTACGGTTACCTGTCCAGTTTTCACAATTTTATGACAGTTCTTGAATCACTTCTTTTCTTCTTGAGGTAGCTTTGTAAGTTTGATTTCTTTGGAGGATCGGAAACAGTTACCACACAATCTGTTAATATTCAGATCAATAAGCTTCACATAACACTGAAATATTGTCCTGTGTCTGTTGTTGGTTTTTTTTGCCTGCCTGATCATTTAGACATAATTTGAATGTTGGTAAATTATTATTTTTTCTTGTTGTTGTTTTTTTCATTTTTAAGCCCACCTGAACATTTAGACATAATTTGAATGTTGGTAAATTATTATTTTTTCGAGGTCATTATTTTTCGTTGTGACCAAAAGGGGGTCCAACATAGGTTTTTTCAGTCCTGCATCCCGCCACTATTTTTGGCTCAGTCCCGCAATCCTGCCCTAGTCAACATCTGTAAGCTGTAATTTTCCTTTTTCATCCCACATCTTGCTGCCAATTTTAAAACTATCCRGCATCCCGCCTGCCAAAATGAGGAAACCCACCTCCCYCCGAAATATTTTCATCCCACATCCCACCATTAAAAGTCGTGTCATCCTGTATCCTGTCTTCATTTTTTACTCTTGTTCTACATCCCGACAAACCTATGTTGGGTCCTCCTAGTAGGGATGACAGTAGGTTTGATACACTAATATACTTTGAAGCTGGTGAAAATAACAGGTAAATTTAAATTTATTTTAATCCTTGACCAAGTTCACTTGATGACATGAGCACACGGATTGATGATTTAGAGAAGAACATTGGTGAACTGATGAACCAAGCCGGGGTGGACGAGCCAGAAAAGTGATGAGGGAAGATGGACAGAACAGTTAAAGTGAATAGACAGAGGACTATAGGATTATTTGCACTATAAATACCGACAGAGATACTTTTATAGAACTCTTTCAAAGCTGTACGCCTGTAATTCATATTACAAGTGTGAATGTAACTGAGTTTTGAGATGTTCAAGGTATTCCTGTTAAATTACAATTTTCGCTAAATTTTTTTTTTTCATTTTCTGAGGGTATTTTTTAACCAATTGTGCATGACTTGATTCAGATCATTACCAATGCTATCTGTGAACTGGGCTTAATTGTTAGTATTGTAGTGGATATAATTATTATGTTAACAGATACAATTGTTTTGATTCCTCATGTAGCTTTATGGTAAGCCAAGCATTTGTAATAAATTTGTTTGTCTGTGATTGTGTGATATATCTACCAGGTCAATAAGCTTCATCATTGTCGATTTATGGCCAAGATTAGCCTGCATGGCAGACGTCCAAATAAGGGGAAGAAGAGGTTAAAAGTTGAATTCTTGTAGTAATAGACCTTTTCTGCGATTACTTGATATATCAGTTTCTTGAAGACATTTCAACTTTCAAAACTGTACTAAAAAGGTGCCAATTTAACAAAACAAGGTGTGTCCTTTCTCCCCAAATGGTCAATTATCACTGTGCATGCTTATTTATTCTAACTCTCCCAAAGAGATCACAGATAAAAGCAATCTTGTCAATCAAGAGTCTGCATGTCTTTGGTCTGAAGTGTCTGAACGCATAATCCAAAACCGAGATCCAGAAAATCCATCCTTGGTCTGCTTTGATTGTGCACATGCGTTCACATTCAATAATGGTTTCTAAACACGTGTAGAGAAAGTAACTTCTGTAAGTATAGGTCTCAACCAAAAAGATCGGGGTCTCTGGGAACAAGAGTGAGTTAGAATGGACCAAAAAGTGAAACTTTATTTGGAAATGAAACTCAATAACTGACTTTTTCTTGATCTTGTGAATTTTTTGCCCAAATCTTGTATCCTATATCCCAGGAAGCCCTACTTGGCCTTACTTGCATCTGAGCCTCTGTTTAAAGGGCCCTTTGGGTTATCTTATGTGACATCAAAAGTCATGCAATGTCATTTGCTACATAATTATTCTCCATCTCTGCATGTTGCTAAGAATATTTTAGCTCATGTGGGTAGCATTTATACAAAGTAGTTGGTTTCTAAAGATATTGTCATGAAATTTTGAAAGTAACAATCCATCATGACCGCTTGTAAATCCCGGAAGTAGTGGCGATCCCCCCTCCCCCCCTCAAAAAAGTAGCAGCCGTCCAAAGGTCATGAGCCCACCCCCAGCCCCCTTTGAAAAAATTGAGTCTTAAGTTCAATGGTGTATTTGTTTTAATACGATAGTCAAGTGAAAGTTATGTACCTACATGGTAACTTGATAACGATAATATTAAGGCACCCTCACAACGAGGGAAGGCATTGCTTATGCCATGAAGCATGCTTCATCAGTTTATGTTGCGCCATGTTAAATTGTTGAATTGAAACAAAAGCTGTATAATTTTCACACAGTAACAGGAACGTGCTAAAAGTAACTTTTCTCCAAATTATCGAAAACTTGACTAGCGCACTGATATATTGGTTCAGCAGACTAACGTAGCAGTGCATCATAAGTACAAAACATTTAACTGTATCTGACAAGCTTTCCTGCCAACCACTGACAATGCAGTGTAGACATGAAGAACCCCCATTTGGCAGCAACACAAATTTAAACTCAAACAAAGAATTTCATCTAATAATTTAAGAACTGCTTTTGCAAGTTCTTTTTATTTCGTAATAAGAGCCTAGTCGCACCAACTTTATATAACTGTGTTTTGCCATTCTTTACCCTGACCCCAACTCATTTGCCCACCCCTCTCAAACAGGTTAGGCATGGATGGGTTGCCATTTCCCTTTTGGTTTCTGCCATAAGACTGTCTCCTGGTGTCATGACAAAAATTCCCGAATTTGAAAATTTCCCTCCAGTAACATCACTTGTGATTAGGATATGATATTTGGCAAAAACCATCAGAATATTGACAATCTTAATCGGGCAATGAAATCATATTTGCAAATTACACCATTGGTAATAGACCTTCCCCACATTCCACTTCAGTGCTTACAAACAGAACCAGAGTGAGGTTGGGATGGACATTCTCATACGGCGCCATGGTTTGTTGGAATGCGGGAAAGCTCTATATGGGCTTATAAAAAACAAAAAGACAGAAACTTGTAGACTAAAACGCCATTTACATGGCACAGTATAGTGTAACAGTAGGGCAAGGCTGGATATTGGTGAGTCTAACTAACTGTTTGGCAAGGAAGAGATAGTTAACATGTACACCCTCCTATCCCCATCAGTTCTGTTTGACCCATTTCATTTCCTAAGCCTCCGTTTTTATTGATGACATGGTGAAATGGACGAGTGTGTTTCACCATAATGATTCAAGCTAGTTGTGAGCATGCGCAAATACCAACACAAGACACCAACGTACATGTAGCACCGGGTATTTGGGAGAGTCCCACAATTGTCCCATTTTTAACTTTCTGATCTTTTTTT